TAAATAGTTCACTCTTGTGCCAGATACAAAAGCCCTATAGTTGCTTCCCGAGTAAAGAGAAAAAAACAACTGCAGAAACAAAGTGAGGAAATGTTTCTTCAATGTTACAAGGAAAGTGCAATAGAATTCCAACACTTATATTTATAATTTTGGTGTATTTTATTGTTTGTAGTTGACTATAAGAGTGTTACCTATATATTTCAATGTTTGTTTTACGAGTTTCCTGGCTGCTCCCTCTCTATTCAGTTAAAAAAACAGAGTTTGGTCACATCTTTTAATAGCTCCTACCCATTGTAATGTGCTGGCTTTTAATTTTCCTTCTCTTCCAGAAATAATTTTGAATGCACTCAGTTTTTGTTTTTAAAAAGCTAAACAGTAAGTTAGTAAAAGATGTCACCGATCTTTGGTTTGATGAGGATTTCTGTGGTTGCAGCTGTAAACAGCAAAGCAAAATGTCACTCCATCTCCCTTGATAGGTAACTGTCAAATCAAATGTCTTACCTACTGGTCATAAAAAGTGAACATTGAACAACAGTGAACATTAAACACTGCGGTATCTGCAGTGCTGCATAGCTTAATGGCGAGTGCTGAACAAGTATTGCTGTGTACCTCGTTTAAAAAGGTTGACGTCTTTATTAAATCATCCAGAAAAAGTCATGACGAATGGGAAAGATATGTTTACTGGTCGAGCTTCAAACCCCAAGCTCCCCACATGCTGATTGTACCCCTCCTGCACAGAAGATGGATCAGCTGCCTGTTTGACACCCTCCTCGCGTCCTGTGCAGAGTTGTTTACAGAGTTGGTATCTGCACAGGGGGAGAGGCAGAGACTTGGTAGACTGACAGTGGGCGGTTTACAGCCTTGCATTATATGGGTGGGGTGGTCTTGACATGTGTGTGTGTGCACAACTTGTCCCCTTTCAGCCCTGAAGACATTGCCTGGAAAAGGGCAATCAGCTGTTCCCTTAAGCACTCCTCTGGTGGGGCAATGGAGATAAGAAGGCGTTCGGAAGGCAAGGCAGGAGGAGGACCACTGGGTGAACAGAGCCACTGTGAAGGTTTTATCAGGGTGGTTATGTCTCCAGCAGTTCCCTAGAGACCCTTCTCGTGTTGGGGCCACCCTACAAATCATCCCTGAAGAGGAACAACCCTGCTCTTCCATGCTTTCTTCTCCCATAGCCTCCACCTGTAGATTTTCCCGTGGGGAGGTGGGTGTTATCTGGCTCACAGAGTGATTTAATGAGAATCAGCTGAATATACCATTATGAAAAATAGAAGCAGTAAACACAGCCCCATGGTCTCTTTTACTGAAAGCTGGACACATCTCTGTCGCCAAAGAACTATTCAGAGTACAATAGGTATAGTGTTGCCAGGGCCTCTGAGAGTAGATACAGCAACACTGAGGCCCCGATTCAGCAAAACACTTGCATGTGCTTACCTCCCTTTGAAGTTACTTTAAGCACCTGTTTAGCTGCTTGCTGAAGAGGGATGGGGTTACTGAGGTGCTTAAAGTTAAGCACACACTTAAGAGCTTTCCTGGGCCAGGGACTTAGCTACTATGGTGATGAATGCTACAGGAAAACATATGGGTAGATTAGATAGATTGTAACACTGGGTTTATGCAGATTTCCTTCAAAACGTCGGATCTCCGTGGAGATGGAGAACCAGATGCCTGCTCCCTCTGCAAGCCTCTTATTATACAGCAGGTAACATAGAAAGAGCTCCACTCGCCCACAGGATATAGAGATTTTCGCTTATGTGAGGGCAAGGATGATTATGATACAAAATTTACAAAATCAGGCGTGACGTTCCAAGCAGTTATTGCTGAAGAATGTGATCCCGCTCCTATTGAAATCAACAAAAGTGTTGCAATTGCATTCAGTCGGAGCAGGCTCGGACCCAAAGTAGAACCAGCTACATAAATTCTTTATCTGTCAGGGTATGTGAAGATCTGTCATGTGCCATGCCAATGTCCAGTGGACTGCCATCATTTTTTGTAGTTGGATTGTCACTGAATTATGCTATGAAGATCTCCCAAGTCCATGCTGCTTTATTCTTTGTCCATTATTTACACAGTGCTCAAAGTGTGCTAGGTGCTTTGTTGACCCATCAAACACAGTTCCTACCCAAAAATACTTACAGTCTAAAATTAGACCCAATATTAGGGAGAAGCAGCTAATAGTAAGGGTGTGAGAAAGGGAAGGACAAATATTTGCTCTTGTTTGGCTATGTAACCTTTGATCTGTTTTTGTTGTCTGGTTTTTGTTTTGTTTTGTTTTTTATAAAAAATAGTGAGGGGAAGAGAGTGAAACAAGGTAGCTGAGGTGATTAGAGGAGGATGATAGCATGTTACACTCAGATGTTGGGGAGAAATCAGAAAACATTAGTCTGGAGTTGAAAAGTTTAATATTGAGTCTGATGACACTCCCATATGCTGCCCTGTACATGCTGCTCCTCCTGGCCTGTTGGAGATTAGTGTTTTCCAGGGACCTAAGGCCTTTCATAGTCTTCTCAGAAGCTTGCTGGGCCCTGTGAGGGAGGGCTTTCTGGATGAAGTGTCCTTGAATGGCTCCCATTTGATCTGGAAGGGGGGAGGTGGGCTGGCTTGTCTGGCTCTTAACCCTGTTCTTGCTGCTGCCCTACTTGGCTGTTGACCAGTTGGAGAACAAATGATTGAGAATAACATAGACTTTTAGCCTATTGATAAAATCCATTGAACAGTTTACTGATCAATATTCACCAGATAACATCAAGGCTTTTGCTTTGTGACATTCAATGTGGATTTCTAATAGTTCTTGATTTGTAACCATAGCCAAAAACCAAGACTGCAGAATGATATTGTGAGGTTCCAAATTTGTGCTCTCAGTGACTTTCAGGTTACCTTTGCTCAATTTAACCAATCCAAGTACAATATTTTCTACCCTGCTTGGATGGGAAACTCACTCTGTGATCTGATGTCCCACAGTGTTCTTTCTGCCCCTTACATCATTATCAGTTAAAAAGATTCTGTGACATGAACTTTACATGTCAATTTTTGTCAATGAACCACGAAACCAGTTTCTTCTTCCATAAATTGTGAGTTTTACTGTGGAAACAGCATTAAAATCTTGTTTTGATCAGTAAAGCAGTGATAACTCAAAAACAGACAGAGAAAAGATGCTTTGAGTAATGGTTGCTTTTCTAACTATAACTACACTTTAAACGCCTGTAAAGGTTAATTGGTCACTGGTTAGGTATTTGTGGATAATTTGCTTGGGTCCCAATGAAATTATTCCATTGCCAGAGTTTGCTTTTAACACACAAAAATGCAGGGGCGTAACAGAAATGTTACAGCAAAGGGACATTTTCAGGTGTGGAAAGCAAAAAGGGGTTTACCTTGAAAATAACCTTCTCAGTGAAAGAAACAGATAAGTGCCATATAAGTAAAGAAAAATGGAGAAATACAACCAAATAGGAAAAAAATCTTTATTCCCCAAATGTTATGACCCCCGTGTATTTCTTTCAGGGAGTCTGGTATCCAGTTAAGAACTAATAACTTTGATCTTTGTCCCATTCGTACATTAGTGTTTCTGAGCTGATATCTGAGCAGAATTGACTCTTACCTCAGATTACATTTTGTTGCCTTATAAGTGACAACAACAACCCCCACTGACTGCGGTGTGTATGTTACGAAAATACATTTCTCTTTTTTATTATTCTGTGTAAGCCAGCAGCATCAAAGAAATGAGCTGCCCCAACTGGTCTCACAGCTGCTGCTTGTCTCTGTTCTGTATATACGCTAAATTAATTGGAAAAACAGGGACAAAAAGGCATTTAGTTCAGGTCAGCTTGTTCAACTACAGTAAATATATGACAGGTTAAATCATTGTCTTTCCTGAAAGAACTGGTTGGCAGGGGTGAGCTCTGCAACTCTTCCTTATGAAAAAAGTTTTTTTTCCCAGTGCCTTGGAGCATGGATGCTGTGAGAGGAGGTACTTGGCACAGAGCATGGGCATGGTCCTATCAGGGTGTGATGTCAAGGGATGTTTTCAGGACAGGTTATTTGTCCTCCTCAACCAAGAAGTGGCATTTCAGCCTTAGTTCGTTACAGTTTCATGGATGTAGCTTAAGAAAAAAATTCTGTTCCTCCTTAATAACAGCGATGTGGTTAATTACTGAATTCTTGTTGTCGGCATCAGGTCAGTTTGTGGCGCCATGCTAAAAACAAACATATGGAGAACCTTTGTTCCATTGCCGTCTGGTTTTTGGCATCATACGTGTAAATGAGTGTGAGTGTATTGTCAAAAATAGTTGTAGAAAAGCCCAAACCTCGTAGTGGTTTACAAACTGTGGATCATCTGAATTTTTTTATAAATAGAAACATGCACTTTACAATAAGGATAAATTGGCAAATCAAGGAAATGGGCGCAGGTAGATCTTCTTAAACTTCTTCCAGTAGAATCATAGAATATCAGGGTTGGAAGGGACCTCAGGAAGTCATTTAGTCCAACCCCCTGCTCAAAGCAGGACCAATCCCCACAGATTTTTGCCCCAGATCCCTAAGTGGCCCCCTCAAGGATTGAATTTACAACCCTGGGTTTAGCAGGCCAATGCTCAAACCTCTGAGTTATCCCTTCTTAGAAGTTGTAAATTATTAGTCATCTCAGCATGCATTTTGTATTATAACAGAAATTGATATGTGGTGTACATATTTAATGCTAGTTAGATTGGTTTTCTTCTGAAATCCAAAGGAAAAAAAATATGGAGTGATGTAACGTGTAAACTGAAAACCGGCTTACATTAAAAATGGGTGAGAGAAATATTACTAAGGATTGGGTCAGAGAAGAACTCGTTCCCTATTCTTTTCTCTCCGGGCAGTGGAAATTAGTGGAAGTTATTGCATGTTCAACCCAGTTGTTCTTTATAGAATGAATATTACCTTACAGTTATTTTTTCTGTCCACATTTGTGATCTTGGCTATATAGATAATCTTTCTTTTTTCTCTCTCTCTCTTTATTCCAGGCCTTCTGCCTTATCTAGTAGCCCAACATACTCAGATCTTCCGTTCATTAGAATTTCCCCACACAGAAATCCGGCTGCAACATCAGAATCTCCCTTCAGCCCTCCTCACCCTTACATTAACCCTTACATGGACTACATCCGATCACTGCACAGTAGCCCGTCTCTGTCCATGATCTCGGCAGCCCGTGGACTCAGCCCTACAGACGGTGGGTTTAAGACTGGCTTCCTGTTTGCTGTCATTGTGGCAACTTAAGTTATATTAATCTTGTCAACATTTCTCTTTTTTTCCTTGTTCAAAGCAGCTTCAGCAGATTTGTCAGCCATATTCATTATGTCATAAATGTTTCAATACTTCATCAGCCTGTTGCTGGTCATTTGTACATTTCACAAACGTTGAAACTTCAGCAAAAAAGGAGAAGTTCTCATTCAAAATTAAAAATGTAACAATGTTTATGGCTTTAATATCTTCCTTTTTGTGGGACAGACTGTGGGTACGATTCTGACCTACCTTAAGCCAGTGTAAATCAGGAATGCCTGCACTGAAATCAAATCAGCTCGTATAAATCAGCATATCTCCAGCAAGTTCAAGAGATATATTATGTGGGAAAGGTCTTTTCCTTTATTAAAATAGCAGTTTTATTATCTTAACAACACACTCACTTGCTAATGAGGGTCATTATATCTCTATTTAACTTAAATTGAGCTACACCAATTTACACTAGCTGAGGATAAGACGAATGAAATTTCACTCATATGAGATATGTGATTGGTGATCAGAATCAGGTGCAGCATATTTAAATGACTCACATTTAGGCAGCATACAAGGAAAGTGATGTTCCCTGAGGTCTGAGTATGATGTAGATATTACCTCCCTGTTTATTCGGATGTAAGCTAAATTATAAAGGACCAAGATCTGCAATCTCTACTCAGTCCTTAGTCAAAACTCCCATTGATTTCAATTTGAATTTTCCCTTAGTGAGCAATGAACAGAATCACACGTGGGCTGGATTCTGAGAAGTGTGTTTTTTAACAGTACATTAGTAGTTTGATGTTTCAAAATTGCTATATTGTGCTGAGTGGAGTTTTATAAATGGGCCAAATTAACAAGTGAGTATTTAGTGAAGATAATTAAACTACTATTTTAATTAAGGAAAAGCTCTTCCCAGTGCTCACACAAATTTACAAAACAGACACACTGCCTTTAGCAGAATTTGAAAAATGAGTAGTGTACTCTGTTCAAATAGATGACTAATTAATCCTCACTTGTAAGAGCCTATACCTTTACTATAATCCATTAGTTATGGGTGCGTATTCTTTTTATGAGAATAAATTTTAATGACCTAATGTCAATCAAAGTGTATGTATGCATGTAGGGATTTCCACTGGTGATATAGACAGCCTGGTTGTTGTGTAAATCATTGTTAATTCTACACATTTTATTTTAACAAACAGTGTTATATGATGACTGGCAAAATCATTTTAAAAGAACACTTTGGTGATTATTCAGAAATCCTTATCTTGCCACAAAGAAGTTCTATATGTTTAGTGTAGAATATATATGATATAACTTTTTAATAGCTTTTTGAAACATCTCTCTCTTTCTCAATCTCTGACATGCCCTTCCCCCACAAATATTTTTATATTAATATATGTACATGTATATTGGCATACACACATACATATGCAGAGATGTAGACATACGTTCACTGTATCTGCAGTAAAATCTGTCTTAAGGGATCTCTCAAGAAACTACAAATTAGACAGGTTAGAACAGAACCAATTGTAATCTCTTATGGCAGTGATTGTATTTATTTTTGCAAACTGTGTACAGAACTGAACATATTGTAGGCACTAAACAAATAAAAGAAAAATTAATAAACTTTCATAATAAATAAAGTTAGTACTCAGTTTATGTATTTGAGCAGAGTCACCTCTTAAGACCAGAGACTGGCTAATAAAGATAGATTCTAAAACAATCTACTGCATACTCTATGTGTATTTATATATTTGATTTTCAATGTATAGGTACTTACATAGCACGATGATAGCCACCATAGAGTGTGTGCATGTATGTGAATATTGTGGTATACATACAGCATGTAAACTATGCAGTATAATTTGATTTATAGGCATACCGCCATGAGCCAAAAAAAGTCCTGAATTCTTAAATAGCCCTAATTATGAAAGTGGAAGCTTTCACACAGCAAAATCCTTGGGAAATATAAGTGGACAAAGAAAAATTACAAGGAATTGTGTAAGGATTTATAGCTTTTATTCTCATTGCATTTTAGTTGCATTGTAATTACACTTTGATGGCATATATTTATAAAGTGAAAGAGTTAAAGAGGTAATATAACTTATGAAGTAAATTTATGCATATACAGGCTTTTTAAAAATATTGATATAAAGAACAATTTAATACCTGCTATCAAATGAGATTCCTACATAATTTCACTTATACTTTAATTCCACCTCAGTTGCACATGGAAATTAAAAAATCAGCATACTGCCATCTCTGTTGTCCAGCATGAAGTTTCATAGGTATCCCAATAAAAAAACTGTTTAATTAAAGGTTGTAAAATATGTTTCATAGAATTCTTAGTTAGCTAGGTTAGCCAGTCAAGTATGGAACTCTAAAGCTCTTATTCAGGCAGATCTACCCAGATCAGACCCTAATCTCCCTTGTTTGTTGACAGTTCCTACCACATTTTGGACTCTACTGGAATGCAAATAATAAATAATAGTTCAAGTGTATACCTGTGTACACACACACAACGCTAAAGGTATAAGTGGCTTGATTATAAATTCTCCCACACACAGTTTGCATTTGAAGGCATGTAAAATTATGCTGTTCTTATTAAAAGTCATGATGCCAGTTAAATTGCTTTAGGTCAATTAAATCATTTTTGGGGGGTTCAGTCCACAGTTGCATTGATCCTGGGATGGCCAGGGGCCAAACAGGCCATCGCATAATGTAGAGCAGCTTTAAAGCTGCTCTAAGTTATGCAACTTGTAGACAATGGCTACAGCAGCTGAGGATCTGGCTGAGTGCTTTGTATACCATGTCATTGACTCACCCAGAAAAACAAGCGGTGTGGAGCCAGCTCTGCTGGCTTTGGTCCACCCATGGATTTCCCACAGCAACACAAAGGAACTAGAGCTGGGGCTGAGAACTGAGCCAATTGTTATGTGTATTGCAGTAGTTCCCACTATGCAGGGGGTGTGATTCTTTTCTGATTTACACAGATGTAAAGCAGGAGTAACTCCACTGAGGCTACACTGGTGTAAAAACTGGTGTAAATGGGAAGAGAATCAGGACAGCAGTCCTTGCCCTGAACAGCTCAGATTCTAAAGGTCCAGTCACAGGGCAGAGCTAGATTTAGAATCCCACTTAATGGGGTAATCTTGCAAATATGCCCATGAGGAACTTTACCTATGTGAGTACCCACATTGAGCTTTGCTTTTATAAAATACTTATATATTTTAAAAAATAAATTGCACATCATAACTGAACTCAATTACCCTTCAACCAAGCCATTATTAATTTGCCAATTTCTTGTATTTAAAAAGGGTCTTAAGGAAAGATTTCTTAAGGAAACCAAAAATTCTTTCAATTTATGGAACATTGGTAATATAGTTATGTGCTCACTATATTCCTTTATAGGTTCTGAAGCATTTCATTTTAAAGCTTGCAGCCAATGTTATTGTTAGTTAACCCAGACACTTATGTCAGAAAGCTCAGGAAGTGTTTTAAGTGTGTCTGGAAAGATATCATGGTCGTCTACTACTGTAAAACTTTAAAATCAATGACTCAGTGTAATGAGTGAGGTTTTTTTTTAAATTTGTGGTCAAATATTTTTCTTGTCATTTTACAGAAAGTGACAGTGGCAAGGTGTGGATTATATTTATTTTAGAAATCAATTTGTAATTTGAAAACAAGAAGAATGCTTCTCAGCTCACTTCTCTTGCGGTTTCCTTTCCTGCACTGTCTAAAGTCCTTTTATTTTTCTTTAACATTTCCTAAAGTTTGATTTAAAATAATGTTTATTCTTCATTTATGTCAGATCTCATGATATAACAGAGAACACCTTTTATTTTATAATATAGTGAAATACTCTGTCAATCCTATTCCTGTATGAGCTCCCACCCCAACTCTGCCATTTTATTTTTCCTTTTAGAATAAACCTGGATCCTGTGTTTGTGGTGTTTCATTTAGGACATGATCCTTCAAACATTAATGCAAATGAGCCACTTTACCCGTGTTAGTAGTCCTATGTGAATACAATTATTCAGTGTTTGCAGGATTAGTAGTTAAATTTGTATTTCCACTCAGAACGTAGCCAATGAAATGGTGGAAGAATGGCACTGAATCACAAGTATAAATAGAAAAATACTTTGTTGCCATACAGCACTTAAATCTGAGGATCTCAAAGTATTTTATGTATATAATGAACCGTGCTGCACAACATTCTTATGAGCACAGTTAGGGAACTATGATTATCTCCACTTTACAAATGGAGCAGCTAAGGACCAGAGAGGTAGAGTGATTTGCCCAAGCTCACCCAGGAAGTCTGTGGCAGAAACAAGAATAGAACTGATCTATTCTAATGACTAATCTTCTGCTAAATCCATGAAACCATCTATTAATAATTGCAGCATCAGAGGGCCACTGAAATGAAATATTAGTCCAATGTTACTTCAGTTCATGACATGGAGTTTAGTGATGCTTGAAAATTGTATGGAGGAAAAACAGATCATGAATAATTTTTGCAGAAAAAGAGGGTTTTTTATGAGTAAAAGAAATTATCTGCAGGGGATTGGATGATTCATGAACACAGTAATGGCATATATAGCCTCTCTCCTCTATGGCACTGAGCCTTACACACCTGAGTAGACCCATTGAGGTCATTGGGACCACTCTCATGAGTTCCATTACTCACGTATATGTTTGTAGGATCGGGAGGGCCTTACTCATTAACATGAATCCAGCCTTGGCTAAAAATGCCTATAAATTGTTCCTGTCTGACAACTAATTTGCTTGAAAGAAATTAGTTTGTCCTAGTTCAGTTTTGCATTTCACAAAATATTCCCACATTGATGACATCCTTTCGGTATTCTCAGCAGGGCATTCAGAGATGTGAATGAGCATGGAACTTGACCTGCTTTGCAAGAGGTGTTTCAGGTTAAGATTGAGACACGTTGACGCGGGAGAGAAGCTTTTGCTGTTGTGGTTAGCTTTTCATGTGACTAAATAAAACATATTAGTTTCCAGGCCTGTCAGTCAGTCTGTCACTTTTAAATTCACTTAAAAAAATAAATATAAAAAATGAGGTCACTGTGAATGGTAAATGTCACTGGTAAATGAATATTTTATGTCTTGCCATTTTGTGAATGATGTCTTTGCAGTATCACTGGTTGAAGTATGTTGACTGCACAGGCATATTGCAGATGTTGCGTTGCTTTAAAAAATAAACAAGCCAGTTTAATAGCCAAAGGGAAGCAGTGGAGTAATAAAAGTTTGCCTCTTGTTTGTCTTACGTCATTAATGGTGTTTTTTATGTTGTGTTCTTAGCTCCACACGCTGGAGTCAGTCCAGCTGAATATTACCATCAGATGGCTCTATTGGCAGGTCAGCGCAGCCCATATGCAGACATTATTCCTTCAGCTGCTACTGCAGGAGCTGGCGCCCTTCATATGGAATACCTTCACGCCATGGATAGTAAGTGATCATGCTGGAAAAAGTGAGACAAATAAGGCCCTGATCCTGAAAAGAGAGCCCCATGGGTGAATTTCCTATGCTCACGTGAAGCCCTGCTGTCAACAGTAGAGCACTGTGCAGATGCAGAAGTTTGTACCCGCATGGTTCTCTTTTCAGGATTGGGGCCTAAAAGTAGTTTAAGTGAGAGGTGGCAAAGTGAATCTGATAATAAACTTTGAAAGAGACTACGGAGAGAAATGTGAGTGCTTCTAAAAATAAAGGGCTGTGGGTAAAAACTAACTTGCAGTGGACTCCTAAATTACTAAATACTTTTGAAAAGGTTACCTTACACTAGCAAACATTAAGTCATGTTTATCTTTAATGTTGATATCATTGTTCATAAATAAACATTTACATCCATTTTCCTAACCTTAGTTTGTGTCCCTGTCCCCTCAAAAAAACCCAGCAACCAGTCAATGTGAACAACTCTTCTTTTATAGAATTTGTCTAAAACATCTTGAGAGAGCAGCAGATATGTTTAAAAAATATGTATTCTAGTACTGACTAAGCTTTGAGATTGTTCCTGGCTCAGGCAACGTGGATGGCCAAATCCCCAAGGATGCTGCCTCAAATATCTAAGCTATGTACCTCCTTCCACCTGCTGCGCCATCTTCAAGACCTTTTATCGTGGCCTCCATTTCTCTCAGCAAAGTTGAGTGGAGAGCACTCCATCTGAAGCTGCTCACTGCTGCTTTTTAGTCAACCAAAGGGAGTTACTGTTAGTATTGAGTTGTGCAAAGCACTTCACTCATCAGCTGCTAAAGCTGTCTGTGGAATCTTCTCATTCCCCCCTCTCCACCATAACTTGGGAAGTAAGAGACTGGGGCTAGGAATCAAACAGTGTTGCCTCTCATGTGGCAGCACAGAGCCATACTATGCTATTAGAGCAATGGTTTAGCCTGTGACTCTTTTAATTCCTTGCCAGCATGTGGTTTCTTCAGGTCTATATCTCATTATTGACCATGTTCCATGGCTGCTGATCCCAAGGAATCTACATAGGATGTAAGAATTATGAGGCTCACACGTAGAAAGCATGATGACATAAGAAAGTCACTGTTACAAGGAAATTCATGTAAATATATGTTAAATGAGTGACTGATAAGTTTTGCAAGTCAGGCAAGATATATTGTGCAGGAATTGAGTGTGCAAATTAAACGTTTTTATTCTATTAGTCGTAAAGAAGGTGAGCACATTTTTTAACAATTCAGTTTCAATTACATATTCTTATATTCAATTACTGTGCATGGTGAATTACAGTAGTTAAAATATTCCAAACATACTCATTTCCTACTCGGAGGTGCTTATGAAAACCAGAATCTGCTGTGTGGACATTATTTCTGATAAGCTTCACAGAAGATGGAGTTTTTCAAAGGGTTTTGAAAGAGAAGGGAGAGAGTTGGGGGTGGGGGGATAAAGGGCTATTAATGTGTTTGACACATATTAATAGCAACTTATTATAACATTCATTTTCTGGTTGATGGATGGTTAAAGACATGTAAGTATAATAATCACACTTGGACACATCGTCAACTCGTGTAACTGTCGTAGCTCCACTGAAGTCAATGGAGCTATCCTTATTTACACTGAGGATCTGGTCTACTGTGTATAATCCCTTGAATCCCAAAGTGCTTGATATATAATGGGCCCAATCCAAACTGGCATGCTGACCTACTGTAATTTGCCTGGTCAGCACTTACCTACCACCATGATGGGCATTCTAGAAAAACCTAAAGAGATGGATAAAAATTTTGTTTCACTTACACAAATAACACCAGAGACATCAAAAGACTGACTTGTGGAGTAAAGGCTGGAGGATTGAGCTTGCTATAATATGCATAGAATTACAGCTTCAGCATCACAAATAATTACCTCTTTTTACTTAAAGGCAGGGGTGCTGGAACAATTTGTATAGTGGAGGTGCTGAAAGCCGTTGAACAAAACTGTAAATCCTGTATATGATGGAAACCACTTCAAGCCAGGGGATGCTGCCGCACCCCTAGTTCCAGCACATATGCTTAAAGGAAAGGATATTGATCTTTGATGCATATGATCTCTGTACATTCATAAAAAAAATTGTCCTAAACATAATCTCAAATAGGGACAGCTGTACAGATATTTGATATATGCACTTTAATTTGTTTTGTGTTTGGTTTTAAAGTTGAGATCACACATTTGCGATTCATTATAGCAGCAACTTTTCAATTAGGGATTATTTCAGTACTAAAGACAAAAAAATTGAAGCAGTATTATGCAAATGGGTTATTTTAAACAGTAAATAGAGAATTAAAATAAGAGCAAATCCTAAGAAGGTCACTTAGTCTCACCTTCTCTATTTGATGAGAATGTGTTTAGTCAGGCAATAGCTTCTTTTATCTAAAGAGAGGATGAAGTTACCCTTTTACTTTGTGAAAACTAATTAAAACTATCTTAACTTGCATGGATATACAGTAAATTAATTGTCATTAAGTAGGCATCTGAATGTCCTATCATTCATCATGCTAAAGAAAACCCCTTTCTTCTTTGTCAGAATTTTAGATTAGAAAAGAGAAACAAAACAATTAGCAGGAAGCCAATATTAAGATGCTTTTTTTGAACGATCAGAATGCCCATATTTGCATTATGATGATTTTAAAAGTCCTCTTTCCACCCTGCCCCATTTTGTTAAAAAGAATGAAAAAGAAGTTGATAATTTCCCTCATTATTTGCGACCAAATTCTGAGAAAATAGCTGATTTGACCGACTGAAAGACCCCTGCTTACATATTCCATACAACAATGGGTCAGAAACAGAGAATGTTCTGAATTTACTATATGGAGAAGGTGTGTGTGTACCTTCTAGAGCCTCTAGACTCTATTGTAATACAAATAATAACCATATGCATTATGCAGAAGATGGACACAGAGCTTTATACAGAGTTTGTGGAACACCCTGCCTTCTTCCTGCTTTATGGTGCTGGAGAGCCATTTTTATTGGGGTGGGGGACAGGATGCTTGGTTCTTGTGCAAGGGGTTGAAACATCCTACATGCTCTGAAGCCTTGCTCTGTGGGAACTTTTTGGTGAACTCCCATTGACTTCAGTGGGAGCAGAGCTAGCTAGGTCCACACTGAGTGCTTTTGACAGTCCCACACTGTAAGACTTACTGAGGTGTGACCTTTTGACTGAATATAGGCTGAGTTTCAAGAAACAGTTGGACAAGTTTTGGCTAGTAGACCCATTCCTTCCCGCTGTGTGTCATCAAGGGATTTATGGGTTTGGAAACCAAGACAAAATTCAGGATGTGTACTTCCATAAAGTAAAACCAAACTTCTACTGATGCCTGTGAACCAAAACCACCAAGTTTCACAGAGCTCTAGTTTATTTTCAGAAATTCAAACCTGTCATGTTCACAGCCTTCAAAGAAGACCAGTTCCTTTGGCATGTTTGAAGAAATGTGATTTAAAGGAATAAAATTATACGTCTGAAAATTGTTTCATAATAATTGATGCTAAAAACTTGAATTCAGAAATCGAATTCATGGACCAATTTGCAACAAGGCATATTCCATTTTGGAAAATAATGATTGAAATTGACATCAGCTATTTTAGAAATGAGCTCCACCCTCGGAATCAGTCTTTACTTAGAACTCTCACTTTGATTTTTGCCTACACATTCCTGTCTCAAAGCTTCACTAGCTGCTATTACAATTTCCTTGAGTATAATATCTACTCCACAAGGACTAGATTCTTAAACAAGTCTGTCTTCTGCTCTATAGAACGCCACAGCCTATCTTCTATTTTCACTCACCTCCAAAGTTGATGGTTTTTCAGTGCTTGCTCAGAAGGTGAATGGAGTTTTTAGTGAATCACCAGCTCTGCATTTTTGGTCTCCAAGAATCTTTTTTAAAAAATGGAATGCGATCCTTCATTGGAAGAATACTATGAATAGATAAACATCTCAAATTAATAAACGCTGAAGTTTTTGTGTTTAAAATATATGCCAGAGCAAAGCTGCAAAGTTTATTTTAGCAGTCAGAGATGCTTATAAATTGTGATCTATTTCTTTTTATAGTAATATACGAACACAGAATATTGTTATACTAAACATTTTGCAACATAATGAATGATCATCTCATGTTTAAAACCTTTTAGGAATGTAAAACCTAATTCAATGGTGAATACAAGAAAAACAGTCATTTAATTCAATTGGATTTTCTATTTTGAAAGTCACTGCCTCACTTGAAGCCAGTCCTACTCTTCCATTACCAAGTACTGTGGGGCTCTCATTTGGACGTAACAATCATCTCATGTGACACAGGAATTCTCTGTTTACACGTAGAACTGTTTCCCCTTAGGAAATTGGCCAAGTCCCAGGTAGATGCAAGTTGGGGTCTGACTAATTTCTAGATCCAGGTGAGACCACTATGGCATACTGTCCCAAGGAGAAAAGAAAATCTGGGGCTATTGAATGATAAGGCTGAGTCAAGGCTCCCTGTTATAAATCCACTCCGCTCTGCCTTTCCCAGCTGGAAACCACCTCTTTGTCTCTGGCCAGAACACTTTTTGTGCCTACAACAGAGCCAGGGGATAGGGAGGAGCTGGCCCAGAGCTCAGAGTGGCTCTGTGCTGAAGAGAAGGCTGGCTGCTGATAGCAGTTGGGAGGGACGAGGGAAAGAGTTTATGAGCATTTGAGGAAAAGAGTCTTTTCAAACTGCCATAGCATGAGTTAGGAATGGGTTGGCTCATTTTAGAGAGGGAAGGGAGAAGGAGGGAGTCGTGCGTTTGTTGAAAGTCTCTGGGGCACCAGGATGAGGATAATCATACTTGGTAGCTCTGTGCAGTTTGTTAAGGATGAGTATGCTTCTCTTCAAACTCTGAGCGGTAGTGCAGACGTGGGTGATACTTATTTGCTGCAAGTGTCTTCTCCTGGGAAATGGGGTAAAGAACTGCCAAATGAAGTTCTGATGTTGAAATGAGACAATGCTCTGATCAGCAAAGAGTCAAACTACAACTATGTTTGTAGATCATTTATCAGGCTGTCTAAGCTTTCACTTCAGATGAGAAATGTAATCTAGCAGGGTTCATGTTATAGTATTTTTAATGATCGCTTCATTTTCCAATGAAATCATTGGAATACATTTGCAGCGGAAAACATAACTAGCTGATATTTGATTTATAAACATAGTTGTGGTTTGCCTTTTTCCCAGTCAGAGCATTGTCTCATTTCAGTATCAGAAACAGTCAGTCTGTGCTTGGCAATTCTCTAACAAATTCCCCAGGAGAGAACACTTACATCAAGTAAATGGCAGTCACCTCTATCTATACACATTCAGATCTGGAATTCTGATCAGTCAGAATAAATATTTTTAAACTTATGTCCTAAAAATTGAATTTAAAATCTTTCCTAAATTATCATTAGTAACATCCCTATGCAGCGGCCAGGATTCTCATGTTAAAAACAGAACTGTAACATGAAACAATGCCACGCTTATCCAAAGAAAGTGATCTATGCTTCCCTCATCATGAGCATGTCCAGTGTCTTGTGATCAATCCCATTCCTATCAGTCTGAGGAAAATAAATGATTGATGCTTTTATCCATGTGACTACAAGGGGTGTGTGTGTCAGCTGGCGTAGAACATAGCAAGGAGGATTATAAATAACGACAATAACAATGCTGTGAATAACAGACCATTTAGCTGTTCAGTTGTGGTCTAGTGGATTGTGCAAAGAGTCCTGTTTGCTCCACTCATTTGATGTTTCACTCTGGATGACGGTACTTCAGTTATCCACTTGGTAAAATGGAGATAATAATAACTCACTTTTGAAGTGCTTTGAGCCAGCTCCTTAGCTAATGCAAATTGGCATAACTCCATTGACTTCAGTGTAGCTGTACCAATTTATATCAGCTGAGAATCTGGCCCACATGAGAGATATAGATGAAAACTACTAAATAAATGCAAAATATTACTATGTAGTTATTCGTTTTACTATCACATGGATCTTGTATATCCTTAGTAAATGCATAGCAACTTTTTATAGCCACTAATCAATGTTTGTACTTTCATGGAGATAAAACATATCAGGCTTTAGAAGTATCAAGGCACTGCACTTAATAAAGTAGCAGACGTACACACAGTACAATAACAAGCTCATAAAAAGAGAGAGAAAACAGATTGAGTAAAATAGCTTGAAGTAGCTCGAGGGAAAAAATAAAATCTTCAAGTTTAAGTTTTAAATGATAATTCAGCAGCATGAATATCCAGTGAGAAACTGGAGGAATAAAGATGGGGGAACCCAAACCCTGAACCCAGATCCCAAAGACAATTCATACCCTTGTTGTCAGTCTTAGCAGAGCAGCCAAGGTCAAAGAGTGTTCCAAATTAAGCCCAGTTTATGAGGGGGAGTATAAACAGAGATCAGATCACAGAATTATATCAACCATAAAACAATGGCTTTAAATGCCAGATTTTGAATGTTGGCTGAACACACACAAAAAGGGGCAACCAATACAGATGTCTAAGGGAAGAGTCAAGTGAGAAAATTACAAGGAATGAAAATTAAGAAAAGCTCTGTGATTCTGTGCCACTTGCACGTTAGACAGAGTAGTGGTAAGAAGATTAATTGGAAAGCTATAGGAAGAATTGAGACAGGAAAGAACCACCGTAGTTTTAGCCGCAACATTTGTTAAGTAATCATGAATTCTGGAGATGTTTAGTAAGTGGAACTGAGAGTTGAAATAATGTATGAAAAAAACAACAAATCATAGTCAAAGAATACATCTGGATTGCAAGCATACCCTAGAAATGGATGAAATACAAAGTCAGCTTATCTCAAAATAAAATCTCCAGCAGGAGAAAAGCAAAGTGAGAGAGCCTAAAATGAAAATGTCAGTCTTACTATATTTAACAATAAAATTAGCAAGCATATAGTTGAACATATCCATGAAATGTGTAAACAAAGAACATCAGGAAATTTGGGAAAAGAGCAGATCTCTACATCAGCTGTCTTTAACAGTAACGAAGGCCCTGAATCAGTTATGTATTTGAGTATTTGCTTAACTTTAATCACATGGATAGTCCTGTTTGAGTCAATGGACTACTCACTTATTTAAACTTACACACATGCTTAAGTATCTTGCTGAATTGAGGTCTAGAGCAGTGGTTCTCAAAGCCGGTCCACCGCTTGTTCAGGGAAAGCTCCCGGCGGGCCGGGCCGGTTTGTTTACCTGCCGCATCCGCAGGTTCGGCGATCGCGGCTCCCGCTGGCCGCGGTTCTCCACTCCAGGCCAATGGGGGCTGCGGGAAGTGGCGCGAGCCGAGGGACAAACCTGCGGATGCGGCAGGTAAACAAACCAGCCCAGCCTGCCAGGGGCTTTCCCTGAACAAGCGGTGGACCGGCTTTGAGAACCACTGGTCTAGAGCACCAAGTAGTGGGAAGCATGAAGAAAAGATAACAGAAACCTGTCACCTACTCTTAAATTGTTGAGAAGTTACATAGAGCTGCAAGCCATCCAATTAGAAAAATAGGACTTGAACCAAGAGTGTGTGGCCCTGGACATCAAAATTACATGGCACGCTCCAATATTGCCAGTTTATTTGATTGAAATAAGAAGTACAGGTGGTATTATTTTCAATACACATAATTTGGTTCTAGAACTTTGATTACAATGAAATGGAGGATTAGATGAATCAATATTAAGATGAAGTTGAAGGTGATATCTCCCATTAGCATTGATAGAATTGTGGTTACAGGTCAGGAGGAGTACAGACCCAATAGTGAAAGTTTTCAAAGCCACAGAGAATTTAGCCATTCATGTTCTGTTCATTTTAATGGAAGATGTGGGATTGCATCCCATGCCCTGCTCTGAGAAGCTTAAACTGTAGTTTTAAAAAAATGGATACACCCTCCCCCACAAATCTCCTTAGATACTTGAAAAAATTGAAATAAAATCCTAATGTCTCTTAGCCTAATGCTGTAAATGTCGAATTGATAACTTCTGTTGATAGAACATTGTTTTATGGTATTATTTTATTCATCCTTTTTATTTTTGCAGCTAGCATTGGCCAGGCAGAATTATGATCAACAAAGGGAAAGCTGCATTTTAATCTCTATTTTGTATTTTAAAAGTTTATTTTTGGCTCTTTGCATTGAAGTGGCAGGGGTTTCAGGGAGCGCCGATGTGAGCCACTATCTCATCGCTTGGGTTTGAATTAATGATGTGAATGTCTAAGCAGCCATCAGATTCATAAATCACCAGAAATGAGAGGGATAACATATAAAAGTCTTTTCCTTTTGTTTAGCAATTTATCATTTTGCTTGCACATTAATAAACAGAGCTCCCCTGAGGTAAGCCACAGGAAGATAAATTTTTCTTCCTAATTTTCCTCAATTGTAGCCAGTAGATCACAAGTGGAAAGAGTGGGCTTGTCACAGCATGTTGTGACTCTTTATACCCATCGCCAGGAGTCATAAATAAACGGGGGAGAGTACTTTGGTAGATAATTATTTTTGTTTACATAACAGGTGCCAGGTTTCCGAGTCCAAGGCTGTCAACTAGACCAAGCCGAAAGCGTACGCTGTCCATATCGCCCCTGTCTGATCATAGCTTTGACCTTCAGACCATGATACGGACATCTCCAAACTCCTTGGTCACAATTCTCAATAATTCCCGTAGCAGTTCTTCCGCTAGTGGTTCCTATGGCCATTTATCTGCAAGTGCAATAAGGTAAAAATTCTGCAAAGTATTGCTTAATTGTTTGTTACAGCATTTTTGGTGTGTATGATGCTGTATTATCTCTCTTACACCATAAACTTGCATGGCTGCAAATATACACACACATGTGTTTCTCTTTATCTGTCTATGTATATGTATATTTTTGTGTGTCTATACCATCTATCTTTTTGACTGGAGCTAAATTTATAGCGCCAAATATTTTTCTTGCTTGGAAAAGTAATTAATAGAGAACTTTGAGACATTTTATTATTCACTAGAGGTAACTTTCAATCTAAAGGGCAATAATGGTGTATAAATAAACACACACAGGGAGAGAGAGGTTAATATTCAGATATAAAGACATAGGATGGGATTGGCACTTGTGCACCTGAGTCATTTCAATGATTTTGAAAATCGTGCCCATAAACACAACAGACAGCGAAGTGTCCCAATGGTACTGTGATCAAAAATGGGAAGCTCAAGTGCTTTCTGATACTATCATTAAACCCCTAGATATTTGTCTGATAGCTTTCCTACTGTGTGTATTTAAAGGTAAGTCTCTCTAAGGCTAGATGACATGTATCTTCCTTTTCACCTAAGAAATATTTCTTATGGTTAGTAGTCTGTTTCCAGATAAAAGGATACCATACCTTAAAATAAGGTAAGCAGCTCCCAACACACTTGCAAGAGTATGGCAAACAATGTCTCTATCCAGGCACAACAAGGAACCTCCGTTCTATTCCCTGGTCAATTATATTTTCCTTCACTATTTGCACATGGGACAAAATAGAGGAGCTACTCACAATAGAGCGTGTGAATTCCACTTTGCTGCTTCATTTGTACATGCAACAAATCAGCAAGAGTAGAATGGTGGAACCAGGGGATTGAGAGAAGAAGAGTAGAGCGGAGAGGTGGAGAGAATTTGCAGGGGAAGAGGAAGGGGGACAAGGAAGCAAACCGGACAGAAGGAGAAAAAACAAGAGAGCAAAAGCGGACAAAATAAAAGGAGATCAAGGAACTAAAAAAAAGTGTCAGTAATGAAGGGGGAAGGCAGAACAAAGAAGAAACAAAAGCAGGGACCTTTAAGTGTTTGTGACGTCGCTAAATTTTAACTGAAAAAGTTCCTTCAGCATTCCAAAAAAATCTCAAAAGTCTCAGAAAATATTGATTTTGCATTTATGGCACTCGAACAAAGCCTTTTTCTGATTCCTGGCTTAAAAGCAGCCTCCACCTTCAATTTGCAGCTGGGGAAAAGAGCAAGGCCCCATAGCAATTTCTTGAGAGTTAAAAGGTCAGTTTTTGGCAACGTGCAAACCTGCTTTTCCAATAAGAAAGACACACTTAAAACTTCAAAAACTGGCCATGGGACTTTACGCAGCTGGAGAAGATGGTGAGTGCAAGTGGTGTTTAGAAAACATGACTCTGGCAGACATTTAAAGTGACAGTACTGTAAATACTTAATATAAGCAAAAGTGCTGTTGTTTTTAACACCTCTTTTTAAATAGTCATATTTCAAAGCTCTGCTGTACTTGAATAGCTATATAGTGTTTTACAGGTATGATGTCATAATTCTGAAATACAACTCGGCAATCCATCGAAGCATAGTTCCAATTTCCAAGTACTGTAACTGTGGAATATGACTTTTATCAGTAGCTGGCAGTGATTTTTGGCCACATCTGTTAAATATATGTACTATAGAGGCATACTATTCCCACTGTTTTTAGGGGGGAATGACACTTCCAGTATGAACCAGAAGCTGGGACTGGACAACAGGGAATGAATCACCTAGTAACTGCCCTGTACTGTTCATTCCCTCTGAAGCATCTGGCATTGACCACTGTCAGAAGACAGGATTCTGGGCTAGATGAACCTTTGGTCTGACCCAGTTTGGTCATTCTTAGGTTCTTATGAACCTCCTTCTCCATTGTATATAACTTTGGGGAAGAAATTCTATGCAGAAACTTGGAATAGTTAGTCTCTTCCTTGGGGTAAATATTATCCCCAAGATTGAAAATATTTAGTTCCACTGTTTTTGACGTATAGGATCGCAAACACAAAAGGCACTCCCGCAAGTGCTTATTCACATGAGTAGTTTTGTTCCAGGCAGCTGAGAAATTTGAATAAGTGCTGATCAAAAACTGAGTAAAGTCCTAAGGATTTGGCCCAATAGGTCTATTCATGTGAGTTAACAGTACTGAAGAGAATAAGGTTTGCAAGATTGAGGCTATGTACTTTTAAGGTTTTCAGAATTTTGTGTTCATATTTTCTGAGCATGTGTAATGGAAAATTTCACACCATTTAATCATTTTCTTTTTTGATAAGACTATACATGTTCAATGTCAGAAGTGGGAAACATATTCTTACACCCTTTCCACTGGAAACGAAGAAAAGGAGAGGGAACAGATCTTGAGATCCTTTAAAGGGTTACCCAGCACATTTTGAGATCTTTTTCTGACATTGCATCTTAATTGTTTGTTTAACACTTTCAAAACCATGTTTTAAACAATTGATAACTCCCCTTAACTTTTCTTATCTGAATGTGTCTACAAAATAGTTAAACCTAAATACACAGCAACATGTGTCTGATTTGTGATGACTAGATTATCTAAAGTCACAGTGAGTTGCAGTAAGTACATTTCATAGTTCAGGATTGCAGTAGTTCAGTAGTCCTGTAGATGTAGTTCAAAGTTGCAATAATAGGGTTACCATATTTAAAAAATAAAAAAAGAGGACACTCCACTGGCCCTGGCCCCGTCCCTTTCCCACCCCTGGCCCCGCCCCAACTCTGCCCTTTCCCCACCCCTTCCCCAAAGTCCCGGCCCTAACTCCCCCTCCTCCCTCCCAGCCACGCGAAAAGGGCTGCCCAAGCGCTACTGGCTTCACGGTTTGCCGGGCAGCCTCCAGACCCTGTGCCCCCGGCCGGCGCTTCCCCAGTGCAGCTGGAGCCCGGGAAGGGAAGCGCCCGGCCAGCAGCTCGGGGTCCGGAGGCACAGGGGCTGCCCAAAGCTGGTAGCGCTGGCTCAGGCAGCTTGGCTCTTAAACAGAGCCAAAGTCTGAGTCAGGGGAGGAGCAGAGCAGCCGCGGGAGAGGAAGTGCCCGGCCGGTATTTTTCCCGGACATGTTCGGCTTTTTGGCAATTTCCCCCGGACGGGGGTTTGATTGCCGAAAAGCCGGACATGTCCGGGAAAAACCGGACGTATGGTAACCCTACGCAATAAGGGTTTTATAGTTCAGGGTTGAAGACACATTATTATTACAAGCAAAGCTGGTGGTGCCACCTTTAGTGAAGGTTTGCCAAAGGTTCTCATGATAAGACCCTGTTTTCAGTTGCTTATAACTTTGCCAATCTTAAACCTTTCAGGATGAAACCTTTAATGCTGGTTGTCTGCATGAGGCTACATTTTTCTGAAAAAGTGTCAGCAAAAATCCAGCCATTTCCAAGAATTGAGCAGGTCTAGCACCTTCATGCTTTGGAACAAGAGCTTGAAATTTGTCTGGGTGGTTGCCCCCATGCCAGGGATGTGCCTTTTGCTGTTCCTGAGACAATCTGACCAAATTTAGCCAAGTTATAAGCCTTTTAAAACTCTCAGTCCATATATGCTCAGTGGAGACTTGTTAGAGTTTAGCTGCTTAATTCTGCAAAGGTTCCATCTGTATTGAATATGCTACAGCCTAGGGACATAGAGGTTTATCAGGCCTTTCCCTGTAACTGCTTCTGTGGGCTGCTGTGGTGCTGGGCATCACTCGTAGCAGGAACCTTGTCTCTCCATTGCTCTCAGTATTCACTTTGCAGGTTCCCAGGCATTTTGGCGAAGGAAGCAGCCTGACTTGAATGCAAGAGGACAGGAGCCAGACTAGGAGGTGGGGGGGCAGTGCTGAAGGGAGTACATTGGGACAAAGAAGTAGTTTGCTCTTTAAAATACCTAAGAAATTACATTTAAAAAATCTACATGAATAGAACATTAAGGTTGCACAATAAAACACTCAAAATTAGCAAATGCCAGAATTAAGCCTCCCTTTGTGTTTACGATACAAATCTTTAATTACATGATCACATACTGTTTTTTCCACACGACCCCTGCCTCATTCAGTGCACAGGATGAGACCTATTCAGAGGATGCATCAGGGTTGTGAAGTGAAGGAGACTGTTGTCTGAACGACCCCTGCCTCATTTGTTACAGAAGTTGGAAGGTGTGTAGTGAATGAGGCAGGGGACTGCAGGAATAGAAAGGATGGCTTCATGGATAAGGCAGTTTAATTCTACTCTGGATAATTGGATTCTATCTGTGTCTATGCCACAGAGCTCCTGTGTAATGCTTGGCAACTCACTTAAAGCAGACTTTTCACGGGTGGCCTTTAACCGTGTGGTCCTCGTTTTCTGAGTGTCTGACTTGAGACCCTGGGGTCTGATTTCCAGAAGTGCTGAGCACTCACAGCTTCAACAGAACTCAATGGGAGCTGTGATTTGAACATAGACATTTCTTTATAATGCTAAGTACTCTGAAATATCAGGCCCTAAGTGTTTGAAATTGGGCACACAAAATTAGTGGACAATTTTGACCTTAATCTCTCTGCCTCAGTTTTCCACTTATAAAAGGCAGATAATATCACCTCCTCATCTCATGGGTGTGTGTGTGTGTGT